GTCCCTTTCTTTCTGGAAATATCAATTGGGTCCCAAATTTATGAAAATTGCAACAAATGGATCCTTTCCGTTAAATTGTGTCCAACGGCGTTAGGGTGTATTTGACGTGGCACGCTGTTATGAACTTCTTATCTGACGTGGTTGATTCAAGCAGTAGCAGTGAAGCACGTGGATATTTAAATTTTTTAAATAAAAAGAAAATAATTGTTTTAAACCAAAATGGGATTATTCTGAGTGCAGTAAGGAGAAGTGCACAGATCAAACACACTATTAGGAATTAGGGATTGGGATTATTCATGGACAAGCTTCTCACCTTCGCCACTCCTCTCCATTGATGATGCACTGTTGCAATCACCCTCAGCTTCAACTCCAGGGATATATTTTGCAGTCACACAAGCTTTTCTTTTTCCCTTCTTATCAACACCAAGCTTCTTGCCGCTTTTGCCGCTTTTGCAATCACCCTCAGATAATTCATCCATCTCAGTCTGCAACTTTTGCCGCTTCTCTTCAACCCTACAATCAAAATCAGAACAAATTAAACGAGTCTTCCTCCGCATTCCAGAACCCCTTCTTCGATTCGTTCTCGTAAGCTTCCATTGTTGCAAAGTTTAAGCCTTTCTCTTGTTTGCTGCAGTTTTGAAAGTGATCCCTAATTCGATCTACACAAAACTTGAATCCCCTTTTAAAATAATTCTTTTCTTTTTACTTAAAAAATTGTAAATATCCACGTGCTTCACTGCTACTGCTTGAATCAACCACGTCAGATAAGAAGTTCACAACAGCGTGCCACGTCAAACACACCCTAACGTCGTTGGACACAATTTAACGGAAAGGATCCATTTGTTGCGATTTTCATAAATTTGGGACCCAATTGATATTTCCAAAAAGAAAGAGACTAAATTGAGATTCCATGCGAAAATAGGGACTTATTGAATGATTAAACCTTCTTTTTATAAGTGTAACTATTGTCGGTAGTAGTGTAATAAAAAATAATAGTCTGGGTTTGGATGTGAGTTTACAATGTACTTACGAGTTTCATCTAATAATTTTAGTAAAATGTACATTATTATTATATACGTTTTATAAATTCAATAGCTGCCTCCGCCCAGCTTCATGAGCACAGATAGATGCTTCATAATGCCAAATATAGTTTAGAATAAATTCTTAAAAGAAGTTATTTATTAAACTTAATAGGACTTTACACTATACAAATGTAAAAAATAATTAATACAAGTAAAAGTTCCACTACTAGTCCCCTTATAGAATTTTGCAGAAAATATAACCTCGTTGCATTTAAATTTTTTTATATAAATTGATAATATAATACAGATAAAATGCAATTATTATATAGTTTGAGAAGTAAAATATAAACAAATGACGGTGAAATATACAGGGTGGTAAAGTGAATTATACGTAAGACATTAAAAATAGAAATAATTTGAGTACATGATTGTTATATAAAATAAGGATAAAATATAGTAAAAGTTAAATGTTATATTTTGAAATAAATTTATTGAAAGGGTTGTTTTGTAGTTGTGGGATGAAAATGGTGTATACATCAACATCAAGTAATTAAGGCGAGTGAATGAGTTGTAAATTATGAGACATCATAGTTAAATAGATTTTGTCGTGGTGTGATCCATGTTAACAGGATTTGGCTGTTCTAAGTAACAACACTCAACTCTTCTTCAACTACTATTTCTTCTCAATCTAACCAAACCAAACTTTTCTCATCTTTCATCCATATATAATTATTTATATTTATATACATCTAAAAAATAAAACTCACTAATATTAAGAGTCTAAAGAAATTATAAAAATGTATAAATGTATATATATTTTGTAATTCCTCAACTGTCTCTAGGTACAATTTGTCTTTTTCTTTATTAATGTTCCTTCAAGATGGACCTTCTTGGCAGTATCACTTTACGTGCAGGAGAGAATTGGCATAGAATAAGAAACCTAAGTCCTTTAACTCATTAATATATAATTAAACATATATAGGTGAAAAGTATGATGAAAGAATAAGAGTAAAGCAAGAACACAATTTAATACCTTCATCAAAGCTAAGACTATTATTATATTATTTTGGTACCAAGTAATTGAGTTAGACTTTAGACCTCTTTTAATTGCATTTATTATACTCGTTTTCAGATTTTAATTTTCAAAAACATATTTTTGAAGTATTAATATAATATGGTGTTCAACAAAGTCGAAGACAATTTCGCTCTAAGGATAGAGAGATTCCCGGAGAACCATGCGTGGGCTTAATATTAAACCATTCATAATCTCAATTAATTAATGCATCTTTAAATCTTAATCACGATATCTTCTAAATAAAAAAAGTAATGATCCGTGCAAGACAACTCAGCCCCTCTATATTGTTTTATTCAAATTATTGGACGAAAATCGAGAAGGAGAGAGATTAATGTAATGATTTAGCACCATTTCAAGAACAACTTCCTAGTATTATAAAATGTGGGTACTATGTCTTAAACTAATAATTTTGATTAAATAGTTTTAAATAAAGATGATAATTAACACATTAAAGTTATGTATTTATTTATGTATGTATTTAAATACAGGAATAAGATACAGCTGTATTTATAACATTGGCCTTCTCATATCTGTTGTGTATTTTAAGTTGGTCACGCCACGCTAAGATATGAAGGTCCATTTAGTTATTTGCCATTAGGATGAAGTACTATTTTTAGAACTATTTAATAAAAAAATTATATATTTAATCAAATAATATGAATGAGTAATTACTTCTAAGTGGAAAGTGAGTAATTACTTTTAAGTAAAAAAATTATATATTTAATCAAATAAAAAAATTATTTTAATTTAATAAATAATAAAATAATCTAATAAAAAATGACATTAAAAATTTATATTTGTTAAAATATTTGTAAGATGACAAATGAGTAAACAATAATGAAAAATTTATCTTAAATAAGTTTCTTAAACTCTGTTTGTGAAGAGCAACCATATCTGATGTTTTCAAAATAATACTCTGCTAAAAAACATCTTAAATGTCTATTTAAAAACAAAAAGTAAATTTCGCAATAAACTTAGTGGTCAAGAATGGTTTTATAAATATTAGAAAGGAAGTACCCAACATTGTATTTTGTTGACTAAAGTTTTAATCTTCAATAATTTAATTTTGTGTATAATAAAAACAAAAATGTTCATTATTTATACATTTTAAACTAATGATTTGCTAGCTTTCTTAAGAAATAATAGTAATATATATAACAAAAAGACAGCGTAAAAATTGTCATTCAGTGCAATCCTACACAAGCCTAAGGGAGTCATGTGCGCTTCATTTTTTTTTTCTTCTTCTTAATTTTCGTGTTTCTCTATATTCTTAAATAATAGTTTATAAACATATCCTTATTTATAATTTATTTCTCAACGCTAATCAATTGTTGGTTTCTTAAACATGTTTTTTCTCCTTGAACGGATCATGTTGGATGATGATGGTTTGAAATTGATTTTTTGTTGATGTTAATATTGCTACACTGACATAATATTATTAGATAAAAGATATTGAATAAAAATAATAATTAAAAAATGATGGAATGTGAATTGTTTTTAGGGATGATAAAGTTGAAGTATGATGATTATGTTGCATTTATTTGGTTGGTTAAGGAGAGCAATAATTATGGAAACATAGGAGACTTAAATTGATGGAAGTAGATTTTAGGATTTGAAGAGGAACAGGAACACTGGTATGATAGCTGGCTCATTCATATCATACTTGTACCATCGATAAGATAAATAATGGAATCGATCATTAGAATAGATGCTACCCTCATTAAAAAAGTGGGCCACATTACTTACTTCTCTCATTAATCACTTCCATATAACTCTCTTCTTTTTCTGCAATCTATATTTCCTTTTTCAAACACTTCTTCCTAAAATAAACTCATCAAATTTAAATATGTCAATCTAAATTTCCGTAATCTTCACTTAGCTTCATTAATTCTAAAAATACTGTTTTACTGTCAAAATAAACCAACATCTCAGGGCTACAAGAATGATTGGACGGCTATGATGTCATGATTTCCGGACTTCCCCTCAGACATCCTTTGGATCGGATCCAAATAAGAATAGCCTGTTTAATTGTAAATACAATTAAAACAAAAAGATACATTTATTGTTTAATCAGTGTAGTATTCTTTTTTAAGTTTCTTGCTTCTTTATAAGGGAAAAGATTGTGTTAGAACTCAGAAGTTCCTCAAAATTCTTTTCCTTTTTTGCTGGTTTATCCCAACATCAGAAATTGGTCCAGGAAGGTAGGAATCTCATTTTTCTCATTGTTTTTTCTTTTCTTGTTGGTTGTTGTGGAACATATGAGGCATTGGTATTTAAGGAATGGATGTACATTTTTTTTAAATCGTTTAATTAAATTTGAACTTTTATCTCAATAATCACCGTTGACTTTTGAAATAAACTTGTAAATGATAAAGTGAAAAACCATTTTTCACCAAATAAACTACGGTGAAATATAGTTAGGTTTTGATAATTTGAAAAACTTATTGGAAAATGATCTCCCATGCACATGGTGTGGTTGAATGTAAATTGAAAAGAAAATATTTGAATGATTTAGAATTTCAATGGAAGGGCGTGGAAAAGAGTGAAGAGTTGCAGGCGAAAATAATATAAAAATGAAAAAAATATAAATAATTTAGAAGTGAATTAATGTGATGGTGAAAATGTGGTCCCTGGTGCATCCATCCATCACCATCTCTGGAGATGAAGCCATGCAACGGGAATCATGAGATTCCCTTCCACACCCATTACGGTAGGCATGATAACACCTCATCAAACCACCAGGACTCGTCTCGTCTCAACGGATAAGACCATCATCAAACGCAGCCCATCCAACGACTCCAACTCACTCCTCTCCACGTGTCCCTTCCACACGCACCCGATCTTACACCCTTCTCAAACCTCCTCTCCACCCCACCTATTTAACCCTAGTTACTTTCTAACCTCTCTCGGTACAACACAAACTCCTTATCCTCCTCACCCTCATTTTCTATTTCTCTCTCCCTTTTCTCTCTCTGTCTCTGCCAACTACAAACAACTACACAGCACAACCTCGCTATTCCAATGGGGTCTCAGATCTAGACGCCGCTCTGTTTCTGGTATTCCTGTTCGTATTGTTGCTATTGTTGTTCGTCTCGCTTCCAGAACCACAGCGTTTTGGGTCATATTCCATTCGACATGCGGCCCAAACTAGCCTACTCCTTCCCTGAGGAGGTGCTGGAGCACGTGTTCTCCTTTATCGAGTGCGATAAAGACCGTGGCTCGATCTCCCTCGTCTGCAAGTCCTGGTATGAGATCGAGCGTTGGTGCCGCCGGAGAGTCTTCGTCGGAAACTGCTACGCTGTCTCTCCGGCCACCGTTGTCAACCGCTTCCCCAAAGTGAGATCCATCACCATCAAGGGCAAGCCGCACTTCGCGGACTTCAATTTGGTCCCCGAGGGTTGGGGCGCTTACGTCGGCCCTTGGATCAAGGCCATGGCGGCTGCCTACCCCTGGCTCCAGGAGATCAGGCTTAAGAGGATGGTCGTCACCGACGAATGCTTGGAACTTATCGCCAAATCGTTCAAGAACTTCGGAGTGCTGGTGCTCACTTCTTGCGAGGGTTTCACCACTGATGGGCTTGCTGCCATTGCCGCCCATTGCAGGTTTCACTGCTTATTCTTTTGTTTTTCCCTTTCGGTTTGCAAACTCAATTTCGAAGTGAAATGTTGATGATATTGGTTTGATGATTACTTTTTCTTTTAGGTATTAAAAAGTTTAAGTAAGGATCCGAATGGAAAATGTTTGAAAATTATAAGAACTGTTCATAAAGGAGGAATTTGTTTTCAAGTCATTTTTTTTAATGTTTTGTAGGAGTTTATATTATTACATGGTGGGAAGTTTTTGGGGAATCTGATAGAGTTGTTTGCTACTTTTTTTTTTCTGTTTTTGATGTGTCAGTCTTCTTAATGACAATGACTGTTGTATTTGTAATTTGGTTCAGTGTGATTCTGTTGACCGCATTCTGTATTTTGTCTAAATGGATTTTTTTTTTCTGAACATTGTTCTGATAAATCCATTGTGTGGTAATAAATTGTAGGAATTTGAGGGAGTTGGAGTTGCGGGAGAGTGAAGTGGAAGACATTTGTGGACACTGGCTTAGCCATTTTCCCGATTCGTACACATCCTTGGTTTCCCTTAATATTTCTTGCTTAGGCAATGAGGTGAATTTGTCTGCCCTAGAGCGTCTGGTTAGTAGGTGTCCCAATCTGCAGACTCTCCGCCTCAACCGTGCTGTGCCCCTAGATAAGCTGGCCAACCTTCTTCGCGGAGCTCCTCAGTTAGTTGAGTTAGGCACAGGAGCCTACACGAGTGAGATGCGGCCGGAGGTCTTTTCAAACCTGGCTGAAGCATTTGCTGGGTGCAGGCAATTGAAAAGCTTGTCAGGATTTTGGGACGTGCTACCCTCCTACCTTCCAGCTGTTTATCCTATCTGCTCCAACCTGACATCACTAAACATGAGTTATGCAACTATTCAAAGCCCTGATCTTATCAAGCTTGTTAGTCAGTGTGAAAATTTACAACGGTTATGGGTAAGTCTGATCTATACGGTGTTTCCGTTCTTATTGCATGTTTGTGTTTGTATCTTTGTTACTGTTGCAAAGCAGTGCTGTAAATTCCCATGCTGATGATCGGAAGGTGTTTGTTGAATAGGTGCTGGATTACATTGAAGATGCTGGCCTTGAAGTGATTGCTGCATCGTGTAAGGATCTGAGGGAGTTGAGGGTGTTTCCGTCTGATCCATTTGGGTTAGAACCAAATGTGGCATTGACTGAGCAGGGCCTTGTTTCTGTGTCTGAAGGCTGCTCCAAGCTCCAGTCCGTTCTATATTTTTGTCGTCAAATGTCTAATGTGGCCTTGTTTACAATTGCCAGGAACAGGCCTAATATGACTCGTTTTAGACTGTGTATTATTGAGCCGCAAGTTCCAGACTATCTTACCCAAGATCCTCTGGATGCTGGTTTTGGAGCTATTGTAGAGCATTGCAAGGATCTTCGTCGCCTTTCCCTTTCCGGGCTTCTCACTGACCGCGTTTTTGAGTATATTGGGACTTACGGTAAGAAGCTTGAGATGCTTTCTGTGGCTTTTGCCGGAGATAGCGATTTGGGACTCCATCATGTGCTGTCTGGGTGTGACAACCTTAGGAAGCTGGAGATCAGGGACTGCCCCTTTGGTGACAAAGCCCTTTTAGCCAATGCTGCAAAGCTGGAGACAATGCGATCCCTTTGGATGTCCTCTTGCTTGGTGAGTTATGGAGCATGTAAACTTCTGGGTCAGAAAATGCCGATGCTTAATGTTGAAGTGATTGATGAAAGAGGACCTCCAGATTCAAGGCCGGATAGTAGTCCTGTTGAGAAGCTATACATATACAGGACTGTTTCTGGGCCAAGATTGGACATGCCAGGCTATGTATGGAGAATGGAAGGCGATTCTGCATTAAGAATTTCTTGAGTGATTTTGCTGTGGAACGAGCATGGAATTTATTATGACAGTTTGATGTGAGGGTTGTTGATGCAGGTACATGCCTAGAACTGTTGCTGTTATGGTTGGTGTTTGAGCTAGGTACAGGAGGAGGTATATAATATGAAAAGGCTGGAGCTCGATAGCCATTCGTTTTACTCTTTGGCTGAGCAACGAGACACCAATGCTGATAAAGAGATCGGAACCTTGTTGTTAGATGTGGCATAGGATAGTTTTTATTATTTATGGACCTGTGCATACTTTTATATGCATGTTACCCCGCTATTCTAAAATATCGGTGGACTTTGTTATTATCATTAAAAATTATGCGGTGGGAAGGAATAAAAAAACTTGGGAACTATATTCTAATGCAAACCTTATTTGTTGTTTGCAACAATGTTGAAGCATCTGATTTAATTATGCCATGTTTTCTTTTGTTCTATTCAGAATCGATTGGTGCTGTGACAACAGAGTCTCCGCATGTGAATGGAGAGAGAAATGGCTCAACTAGTGGAAAGGTTTCTGCATTTTAAATGTGCGGTTCCAGACTTTCGATCGATTTTTACTTAAATATGCATTCAATTTCATTTTGGTTGCCAACGCCAGGCTTTGTGATAACTTTTTTCGTTCAAGAGAATCGTTAAAGCTGAAGATAGTAGTATTACACGCAAATTAACCCCAGTAAAATTCACCTGTATGCTTGTTCTACTGAGGTACCGGTGATGGAATCGTCGTTAAGATGAAGTTCTCTCAAAAGTTTTCGAGGTTTGTTAGCTTTTGATTTTGAAAGATCGATTTTATAAAATAATAAAAGCATAATTTTAAAAGTATAGTAAAATAGTTAACTTTTTAGAATGAAATCTTTCTCTGAATTATTTTTCATATATGCTATGTAGTCTCTAAAATCTTAAAAGTAATAGGATTTGTGAATTGGGGTACAACTTCTCTTATAACAATATTAAAACCAATTCGTATTTTGTAAAAGCAGTTGGTGTAGATGAAAAAGGAGCATTATTCTGGTTGTGATGGGCGAAGTACTTGTTGAGCGGCGGTGCAGACCTGTCATCAAATTTGAAAACCTCGTATCCCTTTCGGTCATAATCTCGTTGCTGACTTACGGTGTTTGGACATTTTTATTTTTTATTAGAATTATTTTGTAATAACTTTATTATTATAAAATCCTTTTTTAAAAATGAGCTGGGAAAAAATAGAAATAAAAAGAGTAAAGAAAAGTACGAGAGATTCGGTGACATAGGATGGGTTAATCAGCTTTTTCTCTGCATTCACCTCCGTTACTATTTTCTAAGACGCACCACCTCATCATATCTTCCTCTTTTCTTTACTATTCCTAACACACACCACCCACCATCACTCTTCCAAAAATTTAAATTAAATATCACCATTTTCCTTTTATTTTTCTATTATTACAACCCAACGCACTTTTATTTTATCCCAAGATAATTAATTAATGTTTGTATATAACATAAGAACAAAAAGATATGTTATACACTGTATAAGATGGCATCATAAAAAGAGATCAATAAAAGCTAATTACATTATTCTCGTACTTACTTTTCTGCAATAATGAGATTGGCTTTTATATCTCTCCGGAGTATTTCTACAATCCATTACTTTATGTTCCTAGATCCATTTAATCTTATAAATTGTAAACATTAACGAAGAAAGTTAAATCCATGATGTCTAAGAATGAAGAGAGGTAGAAATAGAAAGGGATAAGTGGGAGAAAGAGTAAGATGAGATGGAACAGAAAGAGCAACAGCAACTTATATGATCTGATGAATAAATAAAGAAAAGAAAAGAAAAGAAGGGTTTGTTTCATTGGTTGATGATGGCCACACGTTTCAAGTTGATGATCATCATCATTTATATTCCCTTATTACTATGGTCCTTTCATCATTAAATTCAGTCTCATATCATTCATTCTCATTTTACCACTCTTCTTTCCGACTCTCATCATTGTATTACACTGCCAAATGGAAGAAGCTGCATCATTACAAAACCCAGCGCCCTTTAACTTTTTTACACATTCAAATTCCAATTAACCATTTTCATCATCTTGGTAAAAATACCAAATAGAGTTAGCTCAATCTTCAACTAACCCTAGCCTTTTAACCCTCTACCATATACATCAATCGTCACACTCAGTCAACATCACTGCACTCACAACCTTTCAAACCAAACATTTACTCACTCATATTTCTCCCATTTTCTATTATCTAACCTAACCACCTTCTCAATTCTACGTTCTCAATCATGTAACATGGAGTCTCACATCTTTTCAATTCTTCACACACTACTGCTATATCATTTCATTTTGTAACCATCCTGGATTTCACTATGTTTAAAAGTTTGGGTTCAGTGAGTGCACACCCACTTATGATGATTTTATACTTTAATAACGCATTAATATAATCTTTTTTCACGGCAGTAATCAATTAATGGCACCGAATATTACTACTACTCATAACCACATGAAAAAAAGTCTGCAAATCTAGATTTTTCTGGGTGGCCTTAATTTACCAAAACTAGGTTAATTCAAATGTTGGAGTTGTTATGATTGGCAGATCTTAAACAAAAGCATAATTTTGATTAGAAAAGCTATTTTGTCTTCAATAAACAGTGTGCTAAAAAAGTTCATCCCCAGCTGACGTTATTTTCCACACAAGTAAAATCAATACTTTCTTAAAGTTAGCAAAAACCAGAAAAAGGTTTTTACAAGACCACAACACTCTGGACCCACAACTACCTAATCCTCGGTTTGGTTCGAAGAAAGAGAGAATGATAGAGAATTGAAAAAAAATATTATTACTTTTCACTTCAATCTAATGATAAGAGATTTTTTTTAATTTTTTTCTAATATCTTATTGGGTTAAATATGTTTTTAGTCCCTAAACTATTGACCGTTTCTGGTTTTCGTCCCTCTTCCAAAGTAAGGTACGATTTGGTCCTCAATCTTTAAAAAACGTTCGTTTTAGTCGAAAAAACGAACGTTTTGAGGACTAAAACGATGACTAAAAACAAAATTTTGAGGACTAAAACGAACGTTTTTCTAAAGAACGAGGACCAAATCGTACCTTACTTTGAAAGAGGGACGAAAACCAGAAACGGCCAATAGTTTAGGGACTAAAAACATATTTAACCCTAT